CTCTGCTCTTCGCCTCTTTCTCTCCCCGCTGCAGGAGTGTGAGGCTGCTCTGCCCCTCTCCTCAGCCCCCGGTCATGGGGTGAAGCCCCCCCAGCTCCCCAGTCCCGGCTGCAGCCTGAGGACAGAGAGCCAGGGGGCAATTTAGGGGCAGCTGCTGCCTCCCCCATGCAGTCCACGTCTCTCCCCACTTCCCATCAGACTGACACCAGGGGCACGGTGCTCTGTCCCTCCCGGGTCTCCAACCCCGTGTGACTTTTTTCCCTCATCACCTGCTTGTAGGTCCCCGTCAATGGCAGGGATGCGAGCAGAGGTCTGGAGGACACTGTCCCATGTTTCTGGCCGTGGTCCATGACCATGGTCTGCCCTGGCCATGGGTCATGCTCGTGGCACTGAGTGGGGTCACAGGTGATGGGAGCTGAGTTTCGGAGCTTGCCACAGCCCCGGCGTGTGACCTTTTGCTCTGGTCCCCGCGCTGGGCGATACGTCCCCTCCTCATCCCACCCCTGCTCCCGGAGCTGCTGGGTGTGAGCTGGGCTTCCAGTGCCAGCAGGGATATGGGGTCATTTGCTGCAAATTTGCAGTGCTGTCAGTTAGTTTTAAAGCTGAACTGCTGTGAACTCAATTTGCCAATTTGGTAAGTGCTATGGGCAATATCAGGATGTAATTTAATTAAGCTATCCCCTTTTTATAGAGTTCAGGGAGCATTCACGTACTAATTTTAGCACTAGGTTTTCTTCAGCTTTACTCTGGACACTGTTTCGCGAATCATGACATGTTGTTAATCTTTACCAGTCAACAGTTTATTAATTTCCAGAGGACCACAGAAGTATATAATCAGTGGTTCATCAATCAAGGCTAAATCCAACAAATGTTCCAGGCAGGTACTGAGCATAAAATATACATGCAGCCTTGTAAGCAATTAATACGCGGCAAAGCCAGAGCCTAGCAGCTCAACCAGGGACCGGCACAAATCTCAAAGATTTCTTATTCCTTTTATATATAATCATCATCTGTTACCAGTTCCTCCGTGCCCTTAACACAGCTTCCAGTAATTCTGCGAGGACGGGGCATGCATTTGTCTTCGGGCTTTTTAGCGGCGGGGGCTCTGCCATTGCCTGGTTGTTTGGCCTTAAAGGGACTTGGTTAAAATGTCGAGGGCCGTTTGCTTGCAGCTGGTGGTGGAGTCTCCGAGGACAGTCTCCTTGGGCTTACGAAGGGGAGAAGAGGACGTAGCTTTTTGCTTAGTTAAAATCCTTGCATGCGAGGTGTCACCTGGAGGTCCCCAAAGGCTCTGTGCTGGGGTCCCCACCCGGAGGGGTGACAGCTCCCCAGCTTCCATCCCACGCTTCCCTTGGGGCCCTTTTTTCCCCTTGTCTCCTGGCTTTTCTGTTACTTGTACCTGTACCCAGCAGGTGGCATTGGTGCATAAAGGTTTTCTGCGGTTCTTTTCTTATCGGAGGCTTTTTTTGTTTGGGTAATTTTAAGAAGTTTGAGCTGCAGCCTTGCTAAGACCTTGGCGTTACGAACTGGAGCCTTGCCTTTGAGCCCTGCCTTCCAGCATAACAGAACAATCCCCAGGCTCTAGAAAACCTGTTTCTGTGCTGCTTTTCCCTGTTGCATCCTAGAATTACAGTCGGGTCTGAGCAAACCACGGGCATTTCCCAAGAAAACAAAATCCCAGCGAGCTTCTCTAAATCTGGTGGCTCTGCTCTGCGCGTTGAGCCCAGTGTGCGTTTTGTACCGTCTTGCAGGGATCACAGCAAACCAGGAGAACCTGTGCTGGAGGAAGAAGTCAGATTATTGCCAGCAAAGGAGCAGATATCACTGATCCCTTCTACTGGCATGGTGGTAGCTGCTCAGCCAGGAGGGAGGATGCTGAAGGAGGGAAAGGGCTTAACCTTCATGTGTTGGTGATTTATAATTTGAAATGTAAACATGTGAATTGGCCCTGAGGGAATGAAGGAAACACCTGTAATGTGGCTTAAATTCAGGTTTCCCCAGCTGTCGCTCGGCTTTGCTCGCCGATTCCAGTGTTCTCCTCCGTGCGGGGAGGAGCCAGGGGTCACTCACGTCTGCTGCCCCAGGGCTGTGCCCGTTTGGGAGCCCTGGCAGGGCAGGATTGCAGCCCCGGGGGAATAAGAGGGGTGAGGTTTTTCCCAAGGAAAGTGAGCTTTGTTCTTAGCTCGTGAGCTGGGCGAGGAGGTGGTCGCTGCCCCGTCGGCACACGCTGGGCATCCTCGGCATCACTGTGGGAGGAGGCAGCAGCAGGTCCAGGCGCACAGTGAAGGTGCGTGTCTGAGCCCCGTGGTGCCTCTCGGGATGGGGTTTCATCACCACAAGGACCTCCTGGAGATGCAGGAGGGCACAAGCAGCCCAGCCGGTGGTTAGGAAGGCAGCTCGGGGTCGCACGCTGAGATAGAAGCAGGATTGGGCCCCTTGTTTCCTGGCTGCGTGAGCAGCTCCACCGCAGCAGTGCAGCTGCAGATGGTGTTCTCTGAGGGTTCTGCAACATCTGTGGTGCCTGCAGATGCTGCTGAGTTAGCCTTTTAGGGCAGAAGAGCGGCTGGTGCCACGGAAGCCAAAGACGTTGCAGGTGGATGCGGAAGGGCTCGCAGTGTGGTTGGGCTCCAGCACCCACCCCACCTTGGCAGAGGTGTCGGCAGGGGGTAGGAGAGCCCACCGAGCCCAGGCAGCGGGCGCCGCTCTTCTGCACACACCTGGAATCCTGCTGACCATCACCATCTCCCTGCTGGCGGGCTGGAGTTCCTCTGGTGTGGATTTATTTCTAGTTTGGGGAGAAAAAAGTAGTTTGCCTGCAGGGACAATGTGAATTGTTCCTTTTCCCGGTCAGGGGGTCAGACAGGAGGGAGTTTGTCTGGCTCAGCAGCATGCAGAAGGGAGCTGTGGCCCGCGGTGACACCGGTGCGGTGTCGGTCCCAGCATTTTTAGAGAAGGAAGAGAAATTTGGCATGGTCCGCACAGGCGTAGAAGCGTTAGGACTGCCTGTCTGGAGCTAATCCTTCTCTTCTGCTCTCTTCTGCATCAGATGATGGGCTGTTCCTTCAGCGCTGCGAAGCAGGGTGGAGAAACAGCTGAATTTAAGAGTGTAATCATTTCAGGGAAAAATGGGATTAGAAATGAAGGAACAGGGCAGTGGTTACCACACCAGTCTCCTCCTTCCAGCCCAAGTCATTCAGGGGTGGCCTGGGGAGCAAGGGGAGTGGGGAGGTGCTTCAAAATGAAGAAGGTGAAGCTAAGAACTCATCTCTTTGGGGAGGAAACTGGGTATTTGGGAGTCTCAGCCCAAATCAAAATGCTATGCACAAATCCCCCACATAAGTGCAAGTTCCAAAATATTTTGGTTCAAAACATCACCTTTCTGTGAAGGAGGG